ACAAAAAAGTAAATGGGGGTGAGTACAACCATCATACTCACCATTACCGCACAGTATATTTCGCATAAAGATCCATAACCATAAATAATGTATGCATAGAATCCAGATATAACTCCCTATTAGGCCCTATCGCAAACCTCCCGACCAGACATCGGCGAGGATGTAACTGGAAGCACTCCCACTCCGGATGCAACGGGCATAGGATCTTACCAGGAGACGGTGAAGTTGAATTACCCCTCCGCTCTACACGAATTCGGGCGTTCAGACAATTCCCTCCGCTCTACACGGATTCGGGCGCCCACCTCCCGGATACAACGGGCAGGTGACTTCCACTGATTATGCATTCGTCAAAGGCACTACCATCAGGACACTTAGACTAGGGTTTTCACGCATGCAAAAGTTATCGCGACAAATATTTATACGAAATAACAAGCGCGATAAATGTAGATTCAACGTAAATGAACCCACCTGAAATAAGGTACGCGGCGAGGTCGACTCGTCAAACACCTACATTAGTAAAATAGCCTTATTACACACTATTATACAATCACTAAGTCTAACTAAGTTCATATAATCATTTAAATACGCATTAAAGCAAGAAAAACACATTTTCGATAATATCACTTAAGTTTTGAAAAGTTGACCCGGCAGCGTTTTTAAAATCGACATAACTCTCAGCATATAACTCTTATGAAGATGAATCAAGTTGAATTGGAATCCTAAAACATGAAACTACAACTCTTATGAAGATACTGAAAGCAAATAAGGTCACTTAATAGGTGATATATCAATAAACATTAAATATTGAGTCACAGTCTAAATCTGGGAAAATGCACTTGACTAGACTTCAGTATTTAATATCTAGCTGGAGTTACAGGTATGCTATTAACGAAATTCACAAACCACATCATAGGAAACTCAAATGTCTACAACTTTACTGAAGATCATATTGGCAAATAATAACATATTCAACTAGTTTAAACACAAAACATGTGATTTAGTAAAACTGTCAAAAATAAACATGTGATATGGACAACACCTCAGTTTTTATCATTTATCTAGAGCTACAGACCTTCAAATGACATGGTTCAAGTTCCAAATTAAACCTTAAGAAAACCGCTACAACTTTCATTTACATAACAGAAGCATATAAGATCATTTAGATAGTGAAAAATTGGTTAAGATTCAGTTTCAGATTTCTGCCAACATGATGATTCCTAATTCATGAATATCTAACTTCATAAAAACATAATTCAAGCTACAGAGCTCATATCAACATGAAATTTATCTCATTTGAAAGGTAAGCGACAAATCTGTAACTTTCATGAAGAGTGTAAGTTCATACGAGCACATTTTGACATGAAAAACAGATCAACCATTTATCACATTTATGCTGCCGGTTTTAGGAAAAACTGGACATACAACAAATCTCGTAAAAATCATAACTTTTTTGATATAGATCGGAATCGAGAAATTCCAAAGCCCAGGTTTAGGAAACTGAACATACTACATTTCATATGAAGACCACATTTTCAAATAACCAGTCTCAGATAGCTTAAAATGCGGCACAACAGATCGGCGAAAAACGTATTTTCACATAAAATACCAATGAATACAAAATGGATGGGTCGAAACTCGACAACGATCAATATACTTTATCGACAGAAAATAAAAGAGCACATTGAGGTTCAACACAGCAACAACATGATACTCGGTTTAACGAGGTCACGAGCATAACCCGATAAACGAAACGACATATACGAGTCGATAACAATTCTAACCAAAATCCGACTTCAAACAAATAATTGGTAATACGCATGATATATTTAGCTATCATGTAATATACGAACATGACCGAAATAACGAGAGGGTTTGAATAAGTTACCCGCTTTTGAAATTTCACGAGCTAACGGAGGAAAAATGGGCCGAACAACGGGTCGGAAGTCGGCTCGCGAACGGGACACAGAGTAATGAAAAGGGACCGAAAGTGGTTGCACGTTAGCTTCACGCTGGCAGCAGCTCGCCGACAGAGGTCGCCGGAAGATGGGAATCCGAGGAGCTGCTCGAACGGAGGTCGGGGCTGCTGAGACGGGCTCGCCGGAAATGGCCTGCTCGTGGTGTCGTTCTCGTCTGGGTTCGCTGGGGTGCTCGAGGCAGCCGCTGATTGGAGAGCTCGGGGATGGCTGCTCCGGCGTCGTGTGGTGCTGCTGGATTCCCGGCGTGGTGTTGGCGAGCGGAGGAGGGCGGGGTTGGAGCTTTCCGGCAAGGACAAGAAGAAAAAAAAAATGGAAAAGGAAGAATAGAGAGAGAGGGATGGATGAGAGAGGACGACGAGAGAGATGGAGAGTGGAGGGAGTGATGATGTGAAAAGAGGAATGAGAGTTAGGGGGGGTCAACCTTCCTTTAATCCCCATTTCAAGATTGTAACTCCCAACTAAAATCAAGGGATATGACATGAAGGAAGGGATAGAATTATCATGATTTTGAATTCAAAATTTCAAAATAAAATCATGCATGCACAAAGTGGATAATGGGCGACGGGTTTGGGGCCAGATTTTCTCACGTGGGGCGCGGGCCGGGTTCGGGTGATCCGGTTCGCGTGTTCGGCTAGGATATTCGATTAGTTCGACGTCCCGATTATTTAATATTTTTTGTTCGACCGAAAATAAAATAAATAATATTATTCGGCTCGACATTAAAATTGATACAATTTAGCATTTACGAGCATATAATCGAAATAGAATTATCGAGCCCGAATAATTAATTCGAAAATAAAATAAATTAATAACAAATAATAACAATAATAATTAAATTACAATTCGGCTCGGAAATTAAATTATTAAATCACACAATTAGACAATTTACGAGCACATAATCGAATATGATAATTGAGCACGAATTAAATGAATCCGTAAAATAAAATAAGTAATAATAATAATCTCCAGAATAATCCGGAACAAATGGGGCGCTACAATCTACCTACCTTAAAAGGAATTCCAACCTCGGAATTCGAAGACAAAATAAAATCTAAAAGAATACAAAGGCCTCCAAAACGAAAAGGTAGGGAATCTACCTTCAATCTCGGCCTCCTTCCCTCAAGTCGTCTCGGACTCGTCATGTCGGCTCCACAGCATCTTCATAAAGCTTACTGCCTGGTTCCTCAGCCGATGGACACCCTAGTCCAAACTGGCCACCGGTACCTCCTCATAGGTAAGGTCTCGCTCGACCCGCAGTTAGCCAAAGTCCACCCAGTGGTCCGGGCCATGAATATATTTACACAACATCGAGACATGAAACACATCATGCACCCCTGACAATTTCGGTGGTAAAGCTAGCCGAGTCACCGACATGAGCAAGGATCTCAAAGGATTAACCGCACACAACAACGGATCCTCGTTTACCCTAAACCAAGGTATACCACACCTCAAGTCATACGAAAAGGGAAAAACTCAAATGGTATCATCCAGACACCCGTTCGATACACAAAAAACACGAAACGGCCCACCCATGGTGAGAAATCGCAAAACACAATACAACATGCACACACGACCTCAACATGTCTCATAGTGCCTCGACCGCGGGATCCTTAGTCAAACATTCATGGTCGACACGTGGAGTAGAGTTTCAGCATGGTGCCCGGGTCACACCGAAAACTTACCCACAATCTCGACACAACCGTGACTTCTTGCCGAAGCGATTTGTCACGGTGACTGTGCAACCATGCACGCAGTATAGCCCCGCTATACTTATACTTACAACACACGATTCTACGACACATACGTAGCCCCTCATGGCTCCGTTTGCTGACAAAACAAGTTCCCTATCTAGCCATCTCGAGGAATCCTCGCATAGGCATAGGAAAATTATCAACTACGCTTACTTATCGAAACCATCGATCAAGGATGCAAACGCGGTTTGGTGGAACTTGGAACTCTCGGTGGTTAAACTGTCTAAAAGAAAATAAAATGGACAGTTGAATTGTTAATGCACTGTCCTCCGAGAGGCAACACGCTCGCAGGCGCTGCATATGCGGGGCGCCAGGACGCTTACGTGCACCTGTTCAGAGACCAGCTGCAAAGTCAAGGTTTGGCCGATCACGCTGGCGTGGGAGTTCTGTGTGTCCGGTGATGGCAGCTGCAGCTTGCGTGTGAGTTAACGATCGGCCGCGCGCAAGCCTATCGTCTATCAGCACGGACGTACATGCTTGACCACCACTTCGTGGCAACGCCCAGTCAGGGTCGGCTTTCAGTTCAAGGTTTTGACAAGAAAATTTAATCCATGGTCTTTTTAAATGCGAAAAATTTTCTGACTTGGGATTTCACAGACAATCGATAAAAAATCAAAGGCCGTGCAATTGGGGCTTTTGACGGGCATCACTAGGATCTCAAACAAGAGTTGATGGATCAAATTGAGCTTGTCGAGCATAGTGGCAAGATACGACTTTTGTTGTTTTTCGGTTTTTTTTTGGCAATATTGCAAAAAATTTCAAAACAATACAAATATTATTGGATTGCAACATTTAAAAATGTCGTATTCTATAAATATTCAATTTTTCCTCCAATATACTTCAGTATGCAATTATGTATCCAGTCCATTAACCAACTTCTTTTTTTTTTCCAAAACGATAGATAATATTATAAATCAAAAGGCACAAATGTGCGAATACACAGCAGCCAACGGCTGAATACACAGCAGCCAACAGCTGAAAAAGTGGGAGGACAGGTCAGAAGACCGCCTAGAATCCTGACTAGCAACGCTAGAAAAAAACTTGCAACTAAACTAAACCAACTACTCACACAACTAAAACAACTAAACAGACCCCAACAGAGTAATACTCGAGTGTCGGATCCCAACATGATAATAAGGTAACACTCGGGCCCATTAACCAACTTCAACATCAATCACTTACTAACATTCAATAAAAAACGGATTGTAGAATAAAAGGAAAAAAATACAAGATAAAAAGATTAAAAGCAGTCATCCATGTTTTTGCTCGCATCATTGATGAATTTGAGGCCCATGTGGGCGTTTGAATAGGGTTGGACTGGACACAACACAAGTGTCATTTTGGCGCGCAATCTTCCCGCCAAAACTGAACCCACTGTTGGGTGGAATAAGAGAGGTATTGATGGTGGTGTGGCGGAGCCCAGATTGAAGCACGTCCCCCTCTCACGCACAGGGCATATAGTAACCAGAGAACTTGCGAGTGACAATGGCGAGCAACGGCGATGAATCACCCAGATCCGGCGCCGGCGCCGGCGCCGCGAACGAGAACCCCGCGTCCGCCGCATTCAGTTCAGACCAGCTGCCGATGAATTCCAGTCAAAATTACACGGACGACGATGGCGAAGCGTCTGTCGATGCTGAAATAATCAGAGATGAAGAAGAAGACAACATCGACGACGAAGAAGATGACGAAGGAGAGGACCTCTTCAACGACCAATTCATGAAGTCGGTGTTTCATCTTATTTTCTGCTTTGTAATTAATTGCTTGCTATTTCCCCCTATTCATGGCGCGTTGATTGCAGTGATTACCGGAGGATAGGAAAGCAGGACCAGTACGAAACCTTGGGTTTGGATGATTCCATGGAGGATGATAGGGATTTGGACCAGATTATGGCTGACCGCAGAGCTGCTGAGATCGAACTCGATGCAAGACAACCTTCTCGTTCTCACCGCAAGTATCCCCAGATTCTTCACGAACAAGGTGGTCTCCTCTTTTCATTTTTCACTGTCTCTCTCACCCTTCTGGATCTGTACTTTGGTATACATAATACAAGTATATTGTTCATTTTCTCCCTTCTGTTCACAACTTTGAAGAAAAGTTCCAGGGATAATCATCTTGTGGGGTATACCAACGCTCGAGAGACATTTAATTATGTCAATTTATTTAGTGGTTTTTGCTGAAAAAATGTTTACTTTTCTGTATGTATATATTCTTAAGTACTGCTCTAGTTGGATAAATTATTTTGCCGCATGACCATTGACCCTGCTGTTGTTCTGATCACAAGAAAAAACTGCAACACATGGTGATATAAGAATGATGTTTGAAATTAGGTATGGGGTAAACTACAAGTAGAGGGAGGCTTGGCCTATGTTTGCTAATTGAGTATGCCCATGAGATGTATTCTTCACAACCAATTTGGAAAATGTTTTTCTGACTCAAACTCATAAAAATGATGTCGTAACTACTCAAACCATTTTGATAGTCTTTGATGTTGTCTTAAGCTATTATTATGTGAATTTTGAACTGCTAAGTTAAATGACCAAGATACTTAATTTCAGACACCGATGATGATGAAGACAGGCCGCCAAAAAGAACTAGAGGGGACAGGCAGCCAAATACTCCAACCAGCATGGATGATACTGACGGGATACCCAGTTCACCTGGTAGATCACAAGGAGGGAACTTCAGAGATGATGTATCCATGACTGATATGGACGATGTATGTATTTCAGTTATATATGGCTTAATCTATTCTGAATGCGAAAAGCATTATTAGGAATGTGCTGATAAAAGGTGCTATCTCTATAGGATGAAGAGAATGAGGAAGGTGAGTTTGAGATGTATAGAGTTCAAGGAACCCTCAGAGAGTGGGTTACGAGAGATGAAGTGAGGCGTTTCATCGCCAAGAAGTTCAAGGAGTTCTTGCTTACTTATGTGAATCCAAAAATTGATCATGGAGAATTTGAGTATCTGAGGCAGATAAATGAAATGGTGGCAGGTAACAAACTTCCTCCTGAAAAATTTTAAATGTTATTTTTACGGCCTAATATGGGTGAATTTAGTAGGTTGTTTGAGTTTGGTTTCATCCAGCCAGTGATCCCACCATGACATTTTCAGTTGTGCATTGACTTAATTCATTTTTACCTGCAGTTAACAAGTGCAGTCTGGAGATTGATTACAAACAATTTATCTATACCCACCCGAATATTGCAATCTGGCTTGCAGATGCTCCTCAGTCAGTTCTCGAGGTTATGGAAGAAGTTGCCAATAAGATTGTTTTCCAGTTTCATCCAAATTACAGCAAAATCCATCAAAAGATATATGTGCGCATCACCAACCTGCCCGTGTATGATCAGATACGCAACATTCGGTAATATTTGTTTGAGTTTAGAAATCACTTATCTGAGAAATGTGGATGGGTTTATTATAATTTGTGCAATATGCTTTCCATTGTGATCTGCAGGCAGATACATTTGAACACCATGATTCGTATTGGTGGAGTTGTGACTAGACGTTCTGGAGTCTTTCCTCAGTTGCAGCAAGTTAAATATGACTGTAACAAATGTGGGGCAATTCTTGGACCTTTTTTCCAGAATTCTTACTCAGAGGTGAAGGTTGGTTCTTGTCCAGAGTGCCAATCGAAAGGACCATTTACTGTTAACATTGAACAGGTAGATACTCTCATGCTCTTTCTAGCTATTAAATGCAATTTATAATGATAATATGAGTTAATTTTCATTCTTTACATAGACAATATATAGGAATTATCAGAAACTTACTCTTCAAGAAAGCCCGGGCATTGTTCCTGCTGGTCGACTTCCAAGATACAAAGAAGTGATACTGTTGAATGATCTCATTGATTGTGCCCGACCAGGGGAAGAGATTGTAATTTTCTCACATCTTTAACCTTACAATTTATGCTCTACCCAAATTTATCAGTATTAATCACCTCTCATGTGGCATCTTTTTTTTTTCAAATATCCAGGAAGTGACTGGCATATATACCAACAACTTTGACTTGTCACTGAATACAAAGAATGGATTTCCCGTCTTTGCCACGGTTATTGAAGCGAATTACATCTCCAAAAAACATGACCTCTTTTCAGCCTACAAGCTTACCCAAGAGGACAAAGACGAAATTGAGAAGTTGGCCAAAGACCCAAGAATCGGAGAACGGGTAAGTCAATGTTAATTGACTGCATTCTATTGATGTAATTGTTTCCTGCCTAAGTCTTTACTTTTGGTTTTGCTTGTCAAATAATTCAGATTATCAAGTCGATAGCCCCGTCAATCTATGGCCATGAGGACATAAAGACTGCAATAGCTCTTGCTATGTTTGGTGGTCAAGAGAAAAACGTTGAAGGCAAACACCGTCTACGAGGGGATATAAATGTGCTTCTTCTTGGTGATCCTGGAACAGCCAAGTCCCAGTTTCTTAAGTAAGAAATATCTTTGTATTTATATTGATTGAAGGAATTAAGATCTAACAATTTCATGTCCCTAAAAAAGTTTAATCTGTCTCATTTGTTGGTAGTTTAAGATTATTTTCGATTTCAGATCCTTACATTAAGTGTTTTTAACTGTCTTTTTTGTTATGGAGCATAAATCATTAAATCCAACCAAGACTGGAGTCTGCCTGATTCCAGTTGTCAGATCTTCCTCCTTTCATAAAAATTCAACTTCACGGGCGGCTTGCCCTTTTGAGAACTATACCAGCCTTATATTATCGAATAAATTACCAGGTATGTTGAAAAAACTGGACAGAGAGCAGTTTATACTACTGGGAAAGGAGCTTCTGCTGTAGGTCTAACAGCAGCGGTTCACAAAGATCCAGTTACGCGGGAATGGACTCTAGAAGGAGGCGCTCTTGTTTTGGCTGATAGAGGCATATGTCTTATTGATGAGTTTGATAAGATGAATGATCAGGACAGGTAAAATCTTGAATTTTCGAGGTGTGTCTACTCGATTGCTGCATCATCTTGCTCATAAGAACCTACTGTAATCCAGGGTAAGCATTCATGAAGCAATGGAGCAACAGAGTATTAGCATATCAAAAGCTGGGATTGTCACATCTCTCCAGGCTCGCTGCTCTGTAATTGCGGCAGCAAATCCTGTTGGAGGAAGGTTAATTGAAGCCACCTTCTACTAATAATGTAGCACTTTCATGTCAAATAGTATTTCCTTCTTTGATGTCAGACAGTTATTTAGGCTGATATACAACATTGCTTTTTGAGCACTTTATTTATTTATTTATTTATTTATTTTTGGCTTTAGCGTGTTGGTTTCTTCCTTGTAATCTGGTTCCATCTGGAACCACAAGTCCAACAAAGAATCTCAAGAAAGTATTTTGGATATTAAGAGAAGTAATACAGTAATGCTTCTATAACAATTGTTTGCTTTGGTTTCTGTACTGCCCTTTGTTTAAGTAAGAATTGATTTCACTTTGACAGGAAAATAGGCAGGGAGCAAACTCCGTTTTAAGCTTTTATCTTGATCTGTAGCTTAACATTTCTTCTCGTAAATCTTCTCTTGCAGATATGATTCCTCAAAGACATTCACACAAAATGTGGAATTGACCGATCCAATTATTTCCCGCTTTGATATTCTCTGTGTGGTCAAGGTCTATTTCTTCTTTAATTTCATCTTAATTCAGCCTCGAACTTATAACCGTTAATCATTTTAATACCTTAGGTCTTTAAGAAGAATATCTAATGCATGCAGGATGTGCCTGATCCTTTATTGGACGAGATGCTGGCACAATTTGTAGTTGATAGTCATTACAACTCACAAGCTAAAGGTGCCAGCTTTGAGGATATACCTGTGAGTAATTCACAGGATGGAGACCAAGATTCATCTAGACAAACGGATCCTGAGGTCTTAATCAGAATCTCTATCCCTTTTTTCCTGCCAAGTTGATTGCCTATATGTGTTTCGGTCTGGGTAAAAGTATTTCCTTTTATTCAGATAATTCCCCAAGAGTTGCTAAAGAAGTACATAACATATGCCAAGCTGAATGTTTTTCCAAGGCTGCATGATGCAGATCTTGACAAGCTTACACAAGTCTATGCTGAATTACGGAGAGAATCTTCGGTTAGATTCATCTTTTGGCATATATAGCATCCTTCATGAAGCAAATCTGCCGCCTTCAATTGAATCTGAAAACTGATCAACTCAATGGATGAATGGTCTTGTTTTGTTTCACTTTTGTAGCATGGACAAGGAATTCCTATTGCAGTTAGACACATAGAATCAATGATACGGATGTCTGAAGCCCACGCAAGAATGCACCTTAGGCAACATGTCACTCAAGAAGATGTGGACATGGCTATCCGAGTTCTGCTGGAATCCTTCATTTCAACCCAAAGGTTCGGTGTGCAGAAAGCTTTGCAAAAGGTACCCTATAGAGCCAGTCGAATGTCAGCTTTACATATTTATTTTGTTCAGGCCTATACCTATCTGTTGTCATAAGTCCGGCAAGTCTCATGAACTGCTGACCACATAAGCACTGAAAATGACTGCATAGTTTAGTGCTTTCACATCTGTTACCTCTTGTGTTCTATGAAGTACTTGAGAGAGAAAATTACAGACTCCATAATCCGTTATATGTAATGCATTTTACTCTTGTATGCTTGTGCATACATATATTTTTCCAACTTGCTGCAGAGCTTCAAAAGATATATGATTTTCAAGAAGGATTTCAATGGAATAGTTCTCCACCTTCTACGAGTACTTGTGAAGGATACCCTGCACTTTGAACAAATTTTGTCTGGCTCCACCGCAAATCTTTCTTATGTTGATGTGAAGGTGGAAGAACTGCGAAGCAAGGTATATTCAATCCCGATAAGTTTTTTGGAATGCGGTTTTCCTTTTCGTTTCTATTTTTTCTTCTTTGTTATCTAGTATCTTATTTGATTTTATGTTTTATGTAGGCCCTTGATTACGGAATCAGTGACCTGGAAGCTTTCTTCAAGAGCTCAGAATTTTCTACTGCCAACTTTGAGCTGGACGAGGCAAGAGGTATTATAAGGCATCGTATGAACCACTGAGCTGAGAGGCTATGATTACGGTATGGAAGATGTTCATTCATAGTTTTAAAGATAAGTTTTGCCACCATTCTTCCTTACTCACTTTGCAAGTTGGAATGTCTTGGAAGTAGTTGATGAGGTTTGCATGTGGACAGCCATTTGAGATTTCTTTAAAACAGCAATCAGAGACTTATTCAGTCTGCTCAAACTCTTCTATTTTGAAGAAAGTAGTTTCCAGAGGACAATGACAGTTTGAATGTCCTGACTTGGTGTAAATTTTGTTTGAAACACTCTTAAATGTTAAATTATCCTAGTTTTTGTCAAATTCAACTTCTCACAATTCTCTTTAAGAGATACTTGCATGCAGTGTTGATTTTTCTCCCACAGTTAAAATGAACAATGACTGCTTATGAATCATTTTAATGGCTCCTCGTTAACATTAATTCTGCGCTGTTAAAGAGTCAAAAAAGGAAATTTGCCCAATTTTATGAAAAATGGGTTCGGTCCAAAATTGCAATGAACCGTAACAAAAATGAATTTACGACAAAAATAATTGTATTGTATTGCATTGCAATATAGGAAAAATTTGAATAGAAATTGAACAGTAAACTTTATATATTAAAATAATCCAATCACGATGATGTATGTTTAGCTTGATTTTTCTTAGGCATTGGTATTGTATTGGCATTGGAATTTTTTCCACAATGAAAGGAGTCGCAACGAATTGCATGGTTTCACTTGTTTTTTTTGTTTCGTCACGATTCTACTCACTTTGACAATTTGACAGTTACCTTTGACTCACTTGTTTTTTGGTTTCGCCACGATTTTACTCACCTTGACAATTTGACAATTAAATTTACGTATTATTAAACATAATATATTTCCAAGTTAACTATGCGATAAATTTTATGTTTCAAATTTTTAATATAGTCAAAATTAATTTTTTATGTAATACAAAACTTTTAATTAATATACATGAAATGCACAATAAATATAAACTAAATTATTTTTTCTTAATAATTATTAGCTAGGTGTTTTGGGTTTTATTTTGGTACAATCAATCAGTCACAATTTTTTAAAAATAAAATAGAAGTTTGGTACAATCAGCTTACTATTAAATACTACTAAATAAAGGACAAACACAAACCATTAGATACTTATGTACACAAAATATCAGAAACAATCCACATCCATATGCAGGTATATGAATTTAGACTGCAGCGTTACTTCGCATTACATAAAATATGAAATACATAGATACACGCCATGATGAATAAAAATATGCATGATTATTAGCTACATCACATAACTAAAAACTACATACCTCTAACAAGAGTCCACATTACACAGTGGGCGCTGGTCCACACATCAGATGATGGACTCTACTCCATTATTAGGGGCTTTAAGAGTTTCGGGCAATCCAGCTAATAATTACATCAACAAGCAGATCAATATCCTTGGAATAGTCTGCACTGAAAGACGTGCCCACTTGTTTGGCCATTGACTCCCATGGTGTACCTGCACTTAAACTAGCCAAAAGTGCTCCTCCTCGATTCACTACATCTGCCATTGCAGGGGGCACATCCGGCAAGACCTGAGTTTTCGACAATTTTTCAATTTTACTACGACTTTTCACTTAAACGTACACCATGAAGCAATGTATGTTAGAACATAACAGACTTTTGAAATTTAGACCTGTTGTAGAGGCAGCCCGTGATCACCAGGTAAGGAACGAATAGACATATCCATCATTGAGCTAATACCAGATTCTGAGCTGAGAACCTGGGCTAGAGTGGAAGTTTCGTCGATGGTATCATCTTTGAACTTAATTAATAAATTCCTTGAGACACCATAATAAGACCTTATCTGTCGAGTCAAAAATGTCGAATTCGGATCAAGAACAATAATAAATCATCCATTAGCCATTTAGAGCTATTTAAATGATGAAAACAAAGAGAATATTTTATGCAGTCAAGGGGATTGTTGCAGATTACTGCTTGATTTTTAAGAATGGAGAAAAGGGGATAAGAAAAAATGTGAATTAGTAATAAGTAATAACCTACAGTGTGCCAACGCCATAATAATTTCCACGATCCACAAATGCTAAGAGCCCAGTTTTTAATAGATATGAAAGTAAATAAATACTGAAAAACAAGCTTAATACGAAAACTGGATTTACCAATCTTCGAGTTTCTTCTGGCTTGGGAGTAAATTCTTCCTTCCCCTTAGCTAAGTCCATGTACAATGGAGCGAGTTGCTCGACCAAAGGGAGAACTTGCTTTAAAATGGAAGGGCTAAGATTCTCAAATTGCTTCCTAGTCATTTCAGCCTTCAGATACAGTTCAAGGTTAACACAATAATGTTCAAAAGTCTGCATTTCTTAAAACAAGCATAACTAAGAGAACATTTCAATCCTTAAAACTATCCAACATAGTTAGATAATCTATCATAATCATCTCACTGCTATGTAGCCACATTTGCATAGAAAAGGAAAATGAATTCTTTGTAGAAACAGAGCCTTAACCAGTATTACTACTTAACTGGACAAATTATATCTAGTCCCAGGAATTTATACAGCACAAACTCAATCAAAGACGTCCATTGAAGGTTAATAACCCTATTGCATTGCATTTAATATAAGTTCCATGTGCATCCTTATCACATTCAAAATCGTGAAACTTTTTAGCAGAAAAATATAATTTCATAAAAGGTCATTTTTGTACATGAGCCCGACATTCCCTATTTCACTCGCCACCTTGATACTAACCTATCATATCCAGCAAAGTGTTAGCTCAACCCCCATTACCAGGCATCCTTGAACAAAGCCAGCGAAGTTGCTTGTTCTTATGCCTTGGAAATCACAATCAGGGCCAATAACAGTGACCAGTTTCAATGTGAGTTATGTGACTATTTCCCTAAACATCATTTTGAGTACCAGGAACAAAATCCAAAAAAGTACGTAGCTGTCCTCTTCACAAAAAAAAAAGTAAGTTCCTACAGCGAGTCAAGTGGGAATATTATTTGATCAATAAGTTCATTTTTCTCTTTTCCCACTACGGACTCGAAATACCCTTAAAGATACAAACTAGTAACTTAAGACCATGAAAGTCCTTCCCCATTGTGAGAAGTTATATTTGTCCAACATCGATTAGTTAGTAGTCTGTTATTGCATATAAGTGTGGGTTGAGCACCCTCCCCCTTTGAGCTAGCTTTTGGGATGAGTTCTATCAACCTAAACCCATTTATCATGGCATCAGAGCACCCAATTTTGTTTGTTTGGAGGCGATGTTGGGTTTGGATCCAGCCCATTTAGGTTTAGCATGCTGCGCATGAAGGCGGGTGTTATGTTTGTCCCACATCGATAGTTACTAGGTTGTTATTGTTTACAAGTTGATTGGGCGCTCTCTCCCTTTGAGTTAGCTTTAGGTGATGAGTTCTACCCAGACTCGCTTATCACTCATTAGAAATTTATATTGTCATTTGGACCTTGATGCATACAAATACTATTTTCAGTAAAAAGTTCTTGAAGTTCTTGTTTCCAGGCTTCCATTTCATCACATAATACATGTTTGCTGACTTAAGCTTGTTCATCTTTTTATAGTGTTCAAGTTCTCCAAATATCTTTTCATAACTGTGTTTCACAAAGAATGCAAGGACATTGGCAAAAACGAAACAAATATTACTAGTATGGCATCCTTGCATATAAGACAACAAGAAATCTCACACCTTCCAAAAGCACAATCCAATAATGGTGAATAAAAACTGAGAATAAAACTGCTGTACAACCATTTATTTTCGCATACGAGGATCATACTTCCAAGAAAAAAAGTCATACTTAACAATGTAAAAAGTAGTTTATGTCATTTTACTTTAAAAATAAGGAAAACCTATGTTAAAAGTATAGCCATAAATCTGACAAAAGCTACTATGAGATGTATGACTGTTAATACTAAAAGTATGTAATTTAGTATGAAGAGTAACCATCTTATGTAATACACATCTTATGTAATACTGTTAAGTAAGACAACATTAAAGTTCCAGAAACAAATGTCCTGAATCACACAATATTTGTTAATCACAGTTGTTGCCATGTTGACATATAAAAGACATGAGACATAAATGAACATCTCACCCCAAGGCGAACCGTTGGTGATGATATTATTTGTGATAAAATAGGTCCTATTCTTTCGGCCATTGGCACAATGACAGGTGAAAACAAAGGAACGGCTAGGCTTGCTTCCTGCGAGTAAAATTAGAAACATTTTGCAAGGTGAAAATGACAGTAATATTCTACACATCTGCAGAAAAATAAGAATTCAAAGCAATAACAGGCTGTGCTTCGTTTTGAGTGACATGAAATTTCACAGCTGATAAAAACTAATCTACAAATTGTAAAATATGAAGTCTTTTGGTGTCCAAGACTCTGATTTATTAGAAATCATTTGCTAAGAAGATTCTTGATCATATTATGACAAATGTTTCTTAAACAGTAAGTCCAGCTAAATGAAAAAAAATATCTTTAATATTTGATTAAATAGTTTAGGTAATATTATGACAAAGTCCAACTATGTCTCCTTTTAGGCTAAATCAAGATGTTAATGAAATATATATTATATTGAAGGATTAAGATAGTGAATCAAGGAATACTCGATTTTCATATAGTTTGTCGACGTTAGGTACATCCAAAGTGCTTGAACTATAAAATAATCACCTTGAGATATGAAGGAAAATAAGGTAAACTCATGCAGTACCTTGTTATTGAATGCCATTAATATGTTCCCGTTCCTTTTCAGAGCATACCTTGAGCCTGGATAAGTGGATATCACACATTTTAATTTCATGCTAAGCATCCACAAGCCATTACAGTGAACTACATATAATGTGAATAATGTATGCACCTATAAGAAGGTGAATGACCGACCCCAGAGAATGACCAATGCCAAAACATGGAATCTCTTCATCCTGGGCAATAAAGTCAATCAAAAACAAATAAATGTTAAACTAAGACACGGCTACTATGAAAAATAAAACTCACTGTTTCCTGGAGATATCGAAGACACCTCTCGAATTTGAACTGGACTTCATCTGCTATAAGGAAGTGATCAAAACCACTGGCATAAGGAGTGGCAATAACCAATATGCCCCTGTGTAGCAGACAAGGTACGAAACAAACAAGTTAATATCTTCAACTTCTTCACGTTATGCTGGATGCAGTGAGTTATACTAAATAAACGATGAGCCAATAAACATAGGGGAGAAGCTTCAAGACCCCAAACTGGAAGTGTATGCGCATCTTCCAAGAAGCAAGTGTTGAAAATGTACAATCTGCTGAAGTAAAGCTAGTCCAATATAAAAAATATACAAGTAATAGGGCATAAAATATTAGTGGGATAATTAGTTTTAGAAAATTAAGTATGAAAGGTCAGGCTGTATAATATATTACAGCGGACAATAACAAAATGGTTTTCGAATGTGTAATTGCTGGACAATAGAAGGATTAAAATTAGTGTCAATAAAATGACTCACTCATCTGCTAGACGTTCCAGAAACAACCGATATGTAAGCTGTGGGGCAGCCCCCACAAATATGCCACCCACAAAATGTACGACAGCCATTAACTTGGAGTTCCTCGGTTTCAATACCCAGGCTCCCTAGAAAGGGCATGTGTACTATCATCAGAAATCTCTATCCAAATAAGTTCATTTTACTATACAAAAATAATTTCCACTACACCTGTATGGATAACACTTGCAATTAAAACTGACAGTATTTCTTTGATATAATACAAGTTGCAATCCTATATCTTTTGGCATTAAGGTTTAGAGGTGAGGATTGCATATGAAACTGCGTCTCTGTTTTTAAAAAGCTTCCAGGACTTTTGGAGTAATATGAAGTATTGAAAAACAAGAACTTACACGAAAAGTCCAAACAAACAAAAACCGGCTTCTCAATTTTCAACAAGAGTGACAGCTTTTCATAAATGCATTAGCTAAACAGCCTTTCCAAGACCAAATTCAGAAACATAGAGTCGATTCAGCAAAGTACCTCAATTTCCCTCCAATCTCCAGAATCCTTACCATCTTGCGATTGCTTCACGGTCTCAGTAAGTACTCTGCAGATGATGCTAAGAGTTAGAATTTTCGAAATAAGAGGCTTAGTAATAATGACATGCATTTTGAAACAAGTTGTGTTGTACTTCACTTATGATTGTATATATAAATGGATATGGAAGATTTATAAGGATGAGCCTAGAGAATCCTTTTCATTCCTAATCATGCAAATTCTCATCAAGCACTCCAACCTACAAGCATGGCGCTCGCATAATGAATTCCAAATATTATACATCAAATGGAAAACCTAAGAATATAGAATATGTTTGGTAAGCACCGTAAGCTAGTTTACAGCTTGATTATTTAGCTTATAAGCTTCTTCTAATTTTTGTATTCAAATAAGTTTTGTGTGGTAGGACTGGGCTTTTATGACGAAGGTTTATCTCATAAGTGTATATGTAGCTTTTCAAAGAAGCTAGTTCAATTCAGCTAAATTGTCAACTAATTTTACCAAACAATTTGATTGTATCATCTAACGTTTCAACTATCAACCATAATCTATTCGAAATTCATTTATAAGCTATTAACTAACTTTTCAACTGGGTTTAACAAATATAACCATAGTCCTCTTCACAGTAAATTGAGAGTTGAGACTCTGAAGCTTTTTGTGTCGGTTTGTTCCGTAGCAGAATCTTAACCGACGATGATAAGGTGCAACTAGTGAAATTCCGTTGTTGTGTTTAGTTCCGATGACCTCTAAGATAGGAAAACAAAAAAAACAGACAGGGGCTAACCTCTCGATGTCCCTGTATAGCTGAATTCCGGTTGTTTCAGAGTGCCTGCCGGCGTTTTCGCTGTCTCCGGAGGTGCAATATACTCCGATGCGACGGCGAGAGTGGCTGTGATGACTGTTCTTACAAGGGAACTTGCTGAGCCGTACTGTACTGTGGGAGAAAATGTAACCGGAGTTGGGCCGAGAAAATTTTAGATAAGGGGTCCACGGCCATGTACAGCTCGCCATATCTCAGACAAGGGAAATTGATTTATTCCTCCTGCCTTTGTTTAAGGTGATTTCTCAAAAATTGTTACCGGAAAAACAATAGAATACAAACTAACGAGGGACCAACTCAAATTCAATTTTATTATTTTTTAATCAACTAGTACCAATCCTGCACGGGTAAGAAATATTCCCTAATATGTATAAATTAAAAATTCTCATCATATAATATTTATAAATTTAAAAATATAAAGCCAATATTTAATATAATTTATCTATATTAACTTGTTGAAAATGTTATATGAAATTTAAATTGTGCAAAATTAACATATCTATTTAAAATTAGTACACGACCCGTACGTTGCAAGTAACTGATAATAAATTATATTATATCCATTTCAAAATAAGTGTCATTTTAAAATTTTTATTCAAAATTTCGATTTGACTACAATGTGATTCAAGTACATAACAAATAATTTGATATGTTTCACGCACATTTACAAAGAAGTATCGACCATAGTATTCTCCAAATTTTTCTTTCATTAATATTAAGCAAAATGCTTAACAATATGAAAAACAAAAATATATTGAGATACCATATTTTACCATAAGCGGGTATATTGGATCAATATATAGTTTACCAAATAGTTCGATTTCATACTTTATCTATAAAATATAAATGATATTCAGTTTTATAACGAAATTAATTGCGCAATATAGATAAAAAATAAAAATAAAAAGACCCAAAAATAAGTTATTAAAAAATAATTAAATAGAAACCACCATTAAAACAATTATTTTAAAATAATTTTATAAAAAAATATAATTGAATAAATCAACCGAATTTACACGATTTGTGTTATCTTGAAAATATAAATTTTTATGGTCTAATTATTTCCTTAATTATCCACGATTTGAGTAACTAAATACAAAAAAAATGAATAACGTTTATTAAATAATATTTTAATAAAAATTGTCATTAACACAATTTTTTAGAACAATTTTTTGCAAATAGCCTAATTTGATTATTGTTGTCGATATTCCATAATTGTAGTAATTATTTGTCAATTGAATAAATCAATCTGATTAACACAATTTTCATATTAAGGTATATTAAAAATGCATATCACAAAATTATTACACGCAAAAGATAAAATCCTTATTAAATAATAAATTACACAATTTAGTGGGAAATTTTTTACCAAATCACATAACTGATATTGCAGCCGAAATTTTAATAATTGGGCAAATCGGCCAAAGTCAATGATTTGAGTAATTAAGGTATCTTTAAAATGTATTTTTGTATGGCTTAATTATATTCTTAAATAATGAGCCGCAATTTCCATAATAATTATTTGAAATATACCATAAATTTTTAAATTAATTTCTCAAAATAGTAAATAGAATTTTTTTGGAAGGAAATAGTTATTATTTAAAAAATAATCAAACCTTTTTATATAGATATAGATATATAATATTTTAAAAATCTTCATGCATTTAAATTAAATTTTTTACTATTTTAAAAATTTTGAAGTGTTCAATTGAGGCGATACACTCAACATCTCTTTGGTTAGGTAAAATTTCACCAGTATATATTCCTTCTATATATAATTTCAGAATAAGTTGAGTTTACTTGGCAAACTCTCACGCTTCGGAATCCGCAAAAAATCATGCTTTGGAGTTAGACTTGGATATAAATTAATATTTTTTTATCACACTAAATCGATGATTGATTTTTTCTTTCTTTACTTCTACAATTAGTTACCATAAATTATTTTATATTTCTTTTCCTTTTCATTCCTTTATAATTTAATAAATATAATTCTTATTAATTACTAGCACTCGTGTAATTCTTCATAGGTGTTGCACTGTTTTGTTAATCGGTAATACAATGATTGGTGAAGTAAAATAAACAAATAAATAAAACCAATAATACTAAACATATATTATAAAACTACAAGAAAATGATGAAATTCCAACGGAAAAATATTCCAGTAGAATTCTAACGGCAATTCCAATGGATATTTCAATGCTATTATTTCTGTTGGAATTATTCCAACGGAAATTCCAACAACAATATTCCGTTGGAATGAGTTTTCTATTGGAATTTCTGTTGGATTTTGATGATTCCAACAATAGATTTTTCAATAGGGGTGAAAATAAAAATTCCAACGGAAACTGCAAATTCCAACGAAAATTCCTACAGTCAAAAGCCGTTGGAAATATAGCCGTTGGAATCATCAAATTCCATCTAAAATTCCAATGAAAAATACATTCCAACGAAATATTTTCGTTGGAATTTCCGTTGGAATCATTCCAATGGAAGCTATACCATTGGAATATTGATGGAATTTCCATTGGAATATACTACCATAGAATTTTTCGTTGGAATATAACAATTTTTTTTGTAGTGAAAGTAATAGAAATTGGTATGTATTCTTTTAAAAATGATATTTATTTCAAATCTAATTGGTATGTTATCAATCTAATAAAAATAATTAATTATTTATCTAAATTTTAAATGGGTTAATTGCAGAAAAAATCCTGACCTTTACTTAAATTGCAAATTTGGTCCCGTTAGATTGGGACATTCGCAATTTTAGTCCCAAGAGGCACAATTTCAGTCCTTAACTAATTTTTGTTGCGCAATTGGTCCCAAATCTAACTGAACGTTAAGTCACCGTTTGTCATTAGTCACAAATATTGAAAAAATTGCAAATATAGTCCCATAAGATTGGTTTTGTTGGAAACTTAGTCCCAAATATTAAAAAAAATAGTTTTATTACTAATTTTTGTTGCAATTTTTATTCCGTGAGTATATAACAATATTTGATAGTAAAAATTTAGTTTTGAGACAAAAAATAATAATTGATATACAATGTTTTCTATATTTAAAATTAATTTTTATTAAATAATAAATATATTTAAAAAATAGTAATTATTTAATTTTATTAGAAATATAGAATTCTAGAGGTTAATAAAATTTATAAATAAAAATAAAAATAAAAATAGAAGTAATACCAACTACTATTGGTTGAAAGCTCGGCCAAACTTGTTGTTGAATCGATAATTGGTCAACTAAACGGTTTGATTCCTTTAAACGGATTGATTCCAATGAACCGATTAGAATTAGTTGAATGGACTGGTCAATAATATATATATTTAAATAAGTTAATAAATTTTATATTTTTTAATATAACAAAAATATAAGTTTAAATATATTTGATATATATAAATTCAAATATATTTGAATTTATATTATTATGTTTTATGTATTCAAAATATTTTTAATTAAATAATAAATATTTTTACAAAATAATTATTTAATATTATTATAATTATATTGGATGATAAAAAATAAAAATATAATTTTAGAGGTTAATAAAAATTTAAAACGTAAAATAAAAATAAAAATAAAAATAAAATCAACTACTATTATTTTTAATTTTTAGAATCGGTCAAATGATTGGATTCATTTGAAAGAACTGGTTTTCAATGAACCAGACAGAATTGGTTGATCAGATTGGTCAATTGTATATATATATGTGTGTGTGTGTGTGTGTGTGTGTGTGTGTATATATATTTGATATATAATTTTAAATTCATATTTATATATTTTTATTTTTGATATATTTGATATATAATTTTAAATTGGTTGATCGGACTGGTCAATTTTATTATTTGATATATTTTTTAAATTCATATTTATATATATTTTTAATATAACACAAATATAAACTTAAATTCATAGTTGATATATGCCAAAAATATTTTTTATTAAATCATATTTTTTAAATTCATATTTGATATATAACAAAAATATTTATATATGTTTTAATATAAAAAATATAAATTTAAATATATTTTATATATATAAATTCAAATAAAATTAAATTTATATCATTATTAATATATTAAAAATTTTAATTGCAATACAATGTTTTCTATATTTCAAATATTTTTAATTAAATAATAAATATATTTAAAAAATCATCATTTAATTTGATTATGATTATAGTGGTTGATAAAAAATAAAAATATAACTCTAGAGGTGAATAAAATTATAAAAAATAAAAATAAAAACGAAAAGTTATTTTATATATATCAAATATGAGAAAATTGCAAATTTAGTCCCACAATTGCAATTTTAGTTCTTAGAGTTAACGGTGACTTAACGGTCAGTTAGATTTGGGACCAATTGCGCAACAAAAATTAGGTAAGGACTGAAATTGCGCCTCTTGGGACTAAAATTGCGAACGTCCCAATCTAACGGGACCAAATTTGCAATTAACTCACCTTCTCAATTTGGCAAAATAATACACAACCTTTCAAAAATTTTGCAATTATGTCTCGAAGGAAGATTCCGGTCAACTGATGCTGACATGACATGTCGGTAAATTGATGTGGCACCGGTTGGTGTGACGTGGCAAAAAAACATTTTACACGTAAGAGTCCATGTCATCTCACTTACATGTAGGAATGCCACGTAGATTGGGAAAAACTACTTTATTTGTACCAAAAAAAAAAGAAGAACAGAAGCAGAAACCTCTGCGATTCTGCTTGGCGATTTTCTCCAAATGATGAAGAAAGCAAAACGATGAAGAAGAAGAAAGAGAAGAACACAAATGGCCCATTACAAGATATCAATGGCCGATTATTACCTAATATCGATAATCTCAGCACCAAAAGACCTTCAAATTTTGCTTCCTTTTCGTCATCTTCTTCAGCTTCCGTTTCTTATGAAGCTCCAAGAACAAAATGCTATTCAATAAAACCTTCTCCTTCCTCAAAAACCTCAAATTCATCATCTTCATCAATACCCCATTTTTCGAAAATGCTGAACACTAACATCTCCAGAATAGCAAATGCACCAAAGCTGCTTTCAAATCCAAAGCAAAAGATACACACATAAAACCCTTTTCACTTATGTAGAAAAGGGACCCACCCCACAACCATAATCAAAGAAACATTGCTAAACCCATCTGCAAAAATGGTCAAAGATCAAAACTTGCATCAGCTCCGAGCAAAATAGCGAACAAATTCGAAAACGGGCCTTCAAAATTTCGATGAAAGTTGAAGAAGAACTCGCAAGACAAAGGCCCAACTTCAGGTAATCCCATTAGCAATCCGAATTCTGATGAGAATTATAGTCCCTTGGGAAAATTCGATTTAGATCCCGTGAATTTTGAGACTGAAATAGTGAATTTTTCATCCCATAAAGTAGTTAAAGAGAATATTAGTTGTTGTACTGATGTCAAAACACCCCCTGTTGAGGCCTCATTATCTCCTGAGATCCAATCACAGTCCCGTTCCAAGATTCCGGTCTTGAACTCGAAGTTGACGACCCCGGTTTTTTACGGCGCTGGTCACCTCATCTCGGGTGTCACTGACCGAAGAAAATGCAGGCGTACGGGGAGTCTTAAAGGAGGTTTCCAAAAAAGCCAATCTTTTTCACGAATAAGGTGACTCGATTGAAGATTCTCGGAATTTCCCAATTCCTGTGATAGCTGAGGCCTCAGTCCGGTGGGTCTTATCCCCATGTGATGAGAAGAATGAGGATTTTAATCATGTTTCGGCTGAAAAAGCATCTGATTTAATGTGCCTTAATATTGGTGATTATTCTGCATTATCAGTTTAATGTGTAAAATGACTTTTTGCCACGTCACAAAACCGGTGCCACATCAATTTACCGACATGCCATGTCAGCATCAGTTGACCGAAATCTTCCTTCAAGACATAATTGCAAAATTTTTGAAAGGTTGTGTATTGTTTTGCCAAATTGAGAAGGTGGAGTTTTCTTTGCAATCTAAGCAAAGGTGAGGATTTTTCTTGCAATTAACCCATTTTAAATTATATATAAAGTTAGAAAACTGTGAAGCACGATTCATTAGTTATTATAAATGTTTCTTCTTCTTATTTTAAGATTTTATAACTTCTTTGTTTGTATTTTATTTTATATATGATATATCAAATTAACTATCTTTTAACGATTTTCGATTTGACATCCATATTATATATATAAAATACAAAATAGTAATATATATTCTTATAAATAAAATTTTAAGTTTATTTATCAAACTAAATTAAAAGATATCAATAAAACTATAAATTAAAATTGGTATGTATTCTTTTAAAAATGATATTTATTTCAAATCTAATTGGTATGTTATCAATCTAATATAAATAATTAATTATTTATCTAAATTTTAAATTACATATAAAGTTTAAAAATTGTAAAGCACGACGGATACGATACTTGATGTATTAGTCATCTAATTAAGTAAAAATATAATCTATTTTGCTTAATATTAAACAAACATATTCTGCACTTATGCATTATTTCTATTTATTTAAGATATATTTTTTTTACTTAATAATAGTAAATAATATCGATAATTTATATGATATAAGTACAAAAATTCAATATGAGTTACCATTTTTGTTTAATATACGGGTGTTTAATTATTATGATTAAAAAATATAATTTAATAATTTAATTAAAATCCAAAATAATATTTTATATAAAATTAAACTTTTTTAGTTTAAAAAAATTAATATTTTTTACATATACTTCCTAATTCAACACCCGTGTATTTAGACGTGTATTGTACTAGTAATATCATTAATAATCAATATTTATAGTTACTTAATTATAATTTATTCGAGCGCGACCCCATTTTCAGCTCGATCATATTTCCTCCCTTTAACCAAACTTGGACACCATCAAATGATCGATGGTGACGCATCAGCATCAGAATTCCGGTAACCCGCCGACGGCGATTCCCATTGTCAAGTCTCCCCATCATATTCACAATCACTCGGCTTCTCCCCTCTCTCTGGACGTGCCCTGTAGAATTCGACTCTCCGACATTTTGCCCTATGATGGAGCTCCTATGGCCCCCTACGTAAAGGCTGTAGACACCTTGTCCATGTCCCTCATGCGCCACAACGCAGCGGTCATTGAGCTCGGTCCCCATGACGCCGCCCTCTTCCGCTGTGCCCTCGACTCCGCCCGATTTTATTTCCGTTCCAAGAAAAATGGCCGTGGAGTTTACACTTACAGGGCTGGAAGGTTAGCAGCTGAAACTCCCACAACCTTCTTTACCTCGATAATCTATGGATGGTTGTTTTTTTCCCTACTTATGATATTTTTGGTGGGATAAAAATATGTTGATTTCGGAGTGTTATTAGGCCCTTCACTGACTAGGCCAATCTTAAGCTACTGTTGGAGTTCTATTGATATGATTCTGTAGAGGATTTCGAGAAATAATCTGCTATTGTTAAGTGTGGGTGTGATTCTCTTAACTCATTTGTTCTGCCATGTATTGGTTTGTGTTATCGTAAATATGGTATAGATTAGATAGTATCAACTAGGTGATATGGTAAATCCCTTAGATTAGGTGTTTTGATTTCTTTCCTTTCTTACATCTCCTTTGGTTTGTATATATATGTTGTAATCCTCATTGTGTGGATTATCAATTCAAGCTTAATAGCTGGCATCAGAGCCAAACCAAAATAAAGTTAGGGTTTTTTGAAACTTTTTGAGTACAATTCGTTGGTGTTTAGAGTAGACACACTCCAGGTGAGTTTCGGGTCTCACCTCCTGTACCTTCGGACTCGTCATCGCCGGACCGGCCATCCGGTGAAGAATCGCCGTCAGATTCCGCGTGTGAGGCACACGCGCCGCCGTAGCCATTTGCAGTCTGTTTCACGCGCCGGCGCATGAGGGCGTGTGTCTGGCCGCAAATTTTTCCGGTGAACGTCCGTCTGCTCGGAATTTCACAGGCTTCCTGTTGGTGTTCTCAGTTTTGGGTTTCAGCGACCCCTTGGTGTTCAGGTTGATTTTTTCTTCATTTCAGCCCTTTGTTAAATTTGGTTCACTTGCTCGGGCACAATGGCTGCGAATAAAATTGTGTCTGAAATCGTCCCTATTATGAATAAAATCACCGATGTTAAATTGAATGGGTCTAATTTCCTTGGTTGGAGTACAACTATTATTGATTATTGTCCAGCTCCATAGTATTGACAAAGACGATAACTTGGATTCGTATCCTCCCATAGATGATGTCAAAGATGATACTCGTCGGGCGTGGTTAGGTGATGAAGCAAAATTGATCGTCCAAATTCGAAACTCCATTGAGCCTGATATACTTTCTTTGATCAATCACTGTGAATTTGTCAAAGAATTGATGGATTATCTAACATTCTTATACTCTGGGCGTACCAACATCTCTCATATTTATTTAGTTTGCAAATCGTTTCATAGAGGAGAGCAACAGGATAAAAACGCTACGACATATGTCATGGAGTTTAACAAGGTTTATGAGGAACTAAACTCTCTCCTCCCGTTAAGCAACGATGTCAAAGCAATGCAGAAACAACGGGAACAAATTGCTGTTATGAGCTTCCTGATTGGGTGGTTACGTCCAGAATTTGATGCTTTCAAGAATCAACTTCTCTTCGAATGGCCATTCCTTCTCTCCAAGAGACATTTTCCCGATTCCTTTGGACTGAGGAAATGCAGTCTCCAACTCTCGGCACTCATGTCTCTCAACATAGTGCCATGGTTAGTCGTGGAGGCTCCCAGGGTGTTTCTCGTGGCGGATCTCGACGAGGATCTCGAGGGGGTTATCGGGTCATGAACTTGGGCACACTAAGTATTCATGTCCTCAGTTGGAAGAATCAGAAGGGCCCCTTTGGTCATGTTGCTTCGTCTGATATGGTCACTATCTCTGGTAAGGAGTATTCTCGACTTACTGAAACAGAGAAGCCTTCTTCATCCGTTGCCGTCTTTGCTGACACAGGTAATTCCACTACATGCCTCATATCTAAAAGCACCAGATGGGTCATTGATTCAGGTGCATCAGATCATATGATAGGTAACCCAAATCTTTTTTCCACCCTTGACCCTCATACACCTTCTTCTCATGTCATTATCGCTGATGGGTCTACTACTCGTGTCCTTGGTTCTGGATCTAGTTGGTTCTGGTTCAGTTCATCTTACTCCTTCTATCTCGTTACAATCTGTACTAAATTTACCAAACTTTGCTTTTAACCTACTCTCTGTTAGCAAACTTACTAAATCATTGAATTGTAGCGTCTCATTCTTTCCGAACCATTTTATTGTGCAGGATCTTTCAACGAAGCAGATCCTTGGTGAAGGATCTGTTGGCCTTTATGTTTTCGAATCACCGACATCTAAGTCACTTGTTTGCACCCCCTCCTCCTCCGCACTAGATATGCATTGTCGTCTTGGCCATCCTTCCCTCTAGAGTTTGAAAAGATTGGATCCTCAGTTCTCAAGTTTGTCGTCCTTATTTTGTGAGTCTTGTCAGTTTGCTAAACATTGTCGTAGTTCTTTATCGCCTAGAATAAACACAAGGGCTGCGACCCCATTTAGGTTGGTTCATTCTGATGTATGGGGATCTTGTTCCCCGTCATCAAAATTTGGTTTTAGATATTTTGTTACTTTTATTGATGATTTTTCTCGTGTCACTTGGATATACTTTATGAAAAGTCATTAAGTTTTTCAACATTTTTTGTCCTTTAGTGCCGAAATTAAAACTCAAATTCTTGCTACCATTCAAACTCTTCGAAGTGATAATGCGAAAGAATTTTTGTCTGCACCTTTTCAGTCTTATATGCTTGAAAATGGGATTTTGCATGAAACGTCGTGGGTTGATACACCAGCTCAAAATGGGATTGCTGAACGTAAAAATAGGCATCTCCTCGAGGTTGCTCGAGCATTACTCTTTCACATGGATGTTCCTAAAACACTTTGGGTTGATGCTGTGTCCACTGCTTGTTTTTTAATTAATCGAATGCCCTCGGCTTCTTGGGTAACTCAATTCCATTTTCAGTTCTTTTACCAGATAAATTTATTTTTTCTATACCGCTTAAAATTTTTGGATGCACCTGTTTTGTCCGGGATACACGACCTCATATCACTAAGTTAGATCCTAAGTCTCTCAAGTGTATTTTTCTTGGGTATTCTAGGGTGCAAAAAGGGTATCGGTGTTTCTCTCCTTGGTCGGTATGTCGTGTCTAGGAACGTTAGTTTTAATGAACACCTTCCATTTTTTCCTACCCGAGAGCACCAGGGGAAGACGACTTCTTGGTATATTCTGTTACTCTCACTAGGCCTCCTTCCCCTCCGCCTCAGATAACTCGGCCACCCATTACACAGACATATACTCGGCGTTCTCAATCACATCGCGAGGTCATCATAGATTCTGATTCACGTCCTTTGCCTGCTGCTCCAGTGGAAGACCCTATCCCCGAACCAAATAACCCTGATAACCTTCCAGTTGCGCTTCGCAAAGGTAAAAGATCTTGCACTTACCCTACTGCTTCTGTTGTGTCTTATGACAACCTGTCTGCTTCTTCAAGTTCTTTTATTGCCAAGCTAGACTCTATTTCTATTCCTACATCTGTTGGCACTGCTTTGGCTCATCTTGGATGGCGTGCTGCTATGATTGAGGAAATGAATGCCTTTGATCATAATGGGACATGGTCTTTAGTGGACTTACGTGTTGACAAGAAGGCAATTGGATGTAAGTGGGTCTTCACTATTAAAGTTAATCCTGGTGGCTATTTGGCACGTCTTAAAGCTCAGCTTGTAGCTAAAGGCTATGCTCAGACTTATGGCACCGATTACTCTGATACTTTCTCTCTCGTGGCTAAACTTACCTCTGTCCGGTTGCTCATCTCTCTTGCTGCTTCTTCTGACTGGCCTCTGCACCAACTTGACATTAAGAATGCGTTTCTCCATGCCTTCTTCAGGAAGAGGTTTATATGGAGCAACCACCTGGTTTTGTTGCTCAGGGGGAGTATGGGAAGGTATGTCGTCTTCATAAATCTTTATATTGGTTGAAGCAAAAAGTCCCCGAGCTTGGTTCGACAGTTTTAGCCAGATTGTTTTGAAATATGGTTAGTGAGATGTAAATCCGATCACTCGGTATTCTATAGGCGATCAAGTCTTGGGATCATTTTATTGGTTGTGTTTGTCGATGATATTGTTATTACAGGGAATGATAATGGTGGGATTTCAAACCTAAAATCATTCCTCCATGAGCATTTTCAAACAAAGGACTTGGGACACTTGAAATACTTTCTGGGAGTAGAGATAACGAGTAGAGATAATGAGAAGTAAGAGAGGGATTTTCCTTTGTCAGAGGAAGTATGTGCTAGATCTGCTTAAACTGGAAAAGTTGGGGCAAAACCATGTAGCACTCCGATGACACCAAATATGCAGCTAGGAAAGGATGATGGTGAGCCATTTCATGATCCAGAACGATATCGAAGACTCGTAGGAAAGCTAAACTATCTTACCGTAACACGTCCTGATATATCCTTTGCAGTTGGTGTAGCAAGTCGATTTATGTCTTCTTCCGACCGTTAGTCATTGGGCACTCCTTGAACAAATTTTGTGCTACTTGAAGGGGGCTCCTGGACGGGGATTGTTCTATGGGCGACAGAGTTATCAAAAGGCTAAGGCAGTAGAAGCATATTGTGATGCCGACTACGCAAGTTGCAAAGATGATAGAAGATCGACTTTTGGATACTATATATTTGTGGGAGGCAATCTAGTTTCATGGAGAAGCAAGAAGCAGAATGTTGTTTCTTGTTCAGTTGCCGAAGCAGAGTATAGGTCGATGGCTGATTCCGTGTGCGAGGTTGTATGGATGCATCAGTTACTAAAGGAGCTTGGATTAGAATTTGTTCTCCCAACAACACTTTGGTGTGACAACCAAGCAGCAAATCACATTGCATCAAATCCTGTATTTCATGAACGGACCAAACACATTGGGATAGTTGCCACTTTATTCGTGATAAGGTCGAAGAAGGTTTCGTCACTACAAGATATGTCAATTCTGAGGATCAGTTAGGGGACATATTTACAAAAGCAGTAAATGGTGTAAGAATGAAAAATATTTGTAACAAGCTTGACATAATTGATATATATGCTCCAGCTTGAGGGAGAGTGTTATCGTAAATATGGTATAGATTAGATAGTATCAATTAGGTGATATGGTAAATCCCTTAGATTAGGTGTTTTGATTTCTTTCCTTTCTCACATCTCCTTTGGTTTGTATATATATGTTCTAATCCTCATTGAGTGGAATATCAATTCAAGCTTAATAGCATTACAGTTTGCTAGCTCATTGTCCAGCACCGGATTAATTAGGCAGATACTGGCGGTCTGAAATTTGGGAATATCCTCTATTTTAGTGATCCAATTCCTCTCCTAACGTCTGTACTGTATTTATTAATACTTACTGTACGTTGATTTCCAATTTTCCCATTTCACCTTCTCAAGCACAATCCACAATGTGTCATTCGTGCAAACTTAATGCTCACAATCAGAATATAGGACAGAACATAATGATACATCGTTTTAGGCATCAACCACCAGTAATTTTAAAATAGTTACTGGGGGATTGAGGGGAGGGGAGTTGAGTTCCTTATAACCTGAAGGTAGCAGATCAAACCTGTATTACCAGCGGAGTGCCCCTTATAATGGGCGAGCGGTATCACATGAGCTACAAGCTTGCGATGGCCTCGACCACCAGTTAGCCCACTTCTACAGTGTTATGTCTTTAAGACATATCTGTAAATTCCATGGTAGATACTTTAGAGCTTAATGATTCTCTTGTAATTCTGTCCTACAAAATATGGTATTTAGCTAAGCTGGGAGCTGATTGTTAGATATGGAGAACAGCCGGATATGGAAGGACGTATCAGCGTAATCTATCAAGAAGTTGGAACAAGATGTTGGTCACCTTCCAAGTTATGACGTGTTACTTCTTTCTTTTTTTTTACTCTGGGCCTTTTCAAGGATTTGGAAATCTCCTTAGTATGGGGAAGATATTTGACCAGTCTCCACCTAAATGAACAAAATGCATGAAAGAGAAAAATGTAGGTTAGGTAAAACTAATTCTGGCATATTTCAGTTTGGAAAGGTAGCTTGGTTACTGGTAGAGTGGTAAATGCTGCAAGTACTAATGTTTATTTAGTCGATTGTATTGCGAATTAGTTTCACTAACTAGAGTTTTAATGCTTATCTTGGTTTCTGTCAGTTTTCATGCTTATCTTGGTTGCATGGTCCATATTGAAATCTCCTTTTTCATGATACTCTTTTCGTATGTCAAGACATACAGTGGGCATACCCGCATAAGCGACATTTGACATTTTCACCGTCTCTTGAACCTGTGTAGATTACTTTTGTTTGTTGGCTCTGTGAGCTCTTTAATGTATGAATATTAAAATATGGCGTGGAAGCGTTTGTTCACCTTTTGCTCTCATGAATATTATCTTTGTGTTGTCAATGCTTTTCTTGAAATAATTCAAGTATGGCTATTGACATTGTGGGATATAGTTCATACAGCAGGCCTCACATAGTACGGTAAAGGCTTTGTTGCAGTATTGCAGTTTCTTTTCTTCTCAAGAATGTCAGAAATCCATGTTGCATTTTGGTCAAGAATCAGATTCTAGCTCAATGGTTGCACTTACGTCAATATTGACTCTCAAGTCACTTCTAAATTTGTTATTTACTTCTCTAGATATTCAAGATAGTATTTTATTTCGACTTAACCTGTCTCTTTGTAAATTTCTTAGTACTTTGTGTTGCCAAGTTGCTGAGTTGTTCGAAATGGAAGTTTATATTATTTCTCTTACCGGCTCTCCTCTATGGCAATTTTGACACTCAAATGACCTATTTTTTTGCAGGCCTTTAGAAGATATTGATTCATCTCCACCATGCATGGCTGACACTTTTAAATGCATGGGAAGGGCTGCTCGAGCAGCATTATGTGCAATAGCAAGACACCTTCGACTGCGAAGCGAGTAAGAAATGTGAACTATTTCCTTTTTCTTTTATTTTAAGGTGTGCTGGAGAGCCGGGGGGTATGGTGGGTGGGGTGGGGTGTTGGTGGTGTTGGTGGTGTTGTTCAGTAACTGATAAATTTGCTATTTCTTGAACATTTACTGCAGTGTTTTCAATCACTTGCTAGATGATAGCCCATTGTCTGCTAATGAAGCATCTTCATCAGTTCTTGTTGCCACATTTCCCAACATATCCCCTCAACGAGGAAAATGTGTAACTAGGGATGGGAAGCCTGTAATGAGTTGTGAAATGGAGAAGGGGTTGTTAATGCTGGTTTCCTCAGATGCTCCAGGTCTTCAGGTACATATGTTAATATGCGTAAATGATATAATGCTTTGGTAGAAATTGTGGTTTTACTTTTGTTATGTCTTTCAGTTTGAAGATCTTATTATTCCAATACATTGAACCATTGGCTCTGAATCCATCATATAGTTTGATAGGTATATTATTCATGGAATCCGTGTCTGAGTTCGTCAATTTTGCCATAGGTTTGTGACCCTAATGGCCGTTGGTACCAAGCAGATAGCAGCATGGCACCCGGGGACCTTTTACTTCTCACAGGGAAGGCTCTCAGCCATGCAACTGCTGGACTTCGCCCTGCTGCTTCATATCGGGCCACGCCTGATAATCTTTTGATGCCTCCAAGTGGTGGAAGGTATATACTTTGGAAGCTTTGGTTTGTCCCTTGTGATTGTTTGAAGCTTGAGACTAACTTTTTTCATCTAGGATATCACTGGCATTTAGGCTCATACCTCAAGTCAATGCCATACTGGATTGTACTCCAATTGCAGCAGCTGGGCATGTAATTCCTCAAAGCTATGTGCCAATATCTGTAAGCCGATTTATGGATGACCTTTCTGATGTGGAAGACGACAATGCCGATAATGCTTATGTAAGCACCTCTCCAAAATCTTAGAATCCATCAATTGAGTTGAAAATGATGAACCTTTGCTTTTGATTGTCACGGAATTGAATATCCCATTGATTTGGTAAAGCTCCAGCGCTGATCAGTGTTGCCTGTGAGATAGCGCTAAAAGTATCTGTTGACTGATGAAATTTATCGTTTATGTGGTTTCTAATTTAAAACCCTTTTGATGGCATCTGTTCTCGTTTTTACTACTTACTTTCTTGGTCTTGAGATGAGATAGCAGCTTTTAGTTGTTTTTTGATTTTTTCATAAGATGCAATAGATCTAGGAGATTATATATTTGGATTGGACTGCCTTTCCTTTTTCAAAGGAGTAATTTGCGTGAATTTCTGAGCTCCTAGAAGATAGTATGATTATCACATATGATGAGAGTCTCATTCTGAATCTGCAACTACAGGTACCTGCAGATAATATGAATAGGGAACCATCATTGAGAAGTGTTCTGTCAGATCCCATATCGTAAGTTTTACTCATGTCACATCGTTTCAGTTATCTTTGTTCATGTTCTTAGTGATTGATACTTTAATAATAATAATCCTTGTCCATCCTTGAGAAGTCTACAATTCTTTCTATTTCATTATGTTAAGAAACTTGCAGATTTTGTCCCATTGGGCTACTCTTTGTTTAGATTTATTCTTAAAGTAGCAATTTAGGTCCATAGGAAATGACAAATTAGTCCTGCCGTTAGATATTTAACAGCTCCATACTAAACTCTGTTGATGGTTGTGTTTGGAGGGAAATATAGAAATATCCGCCTGATTTGGAGGGGAGAAGCCATCAGAAAGGTATAACCGTAAAAGACCTCTACCATCCGTTTCTTGCCTTTCTTTTTTCTTTTCACCTTTTGCTTCTTAATCAAACTAAGGCGAGTTATTCGTTTTACTGCTACTCAACTAAATCTTAGCATGTGTATTATTGTGGTAAAAATGCACTGTTCCTCCCTTTACCAAAACCTAAGGGTGTCCCTGTGCTACTTTTCACCATGATGCACATGTGGCACTGAAATGTGGTTTATACATATATTATCTCAGAGATGATTGGCCTCATCTAGTTTAACATATAATTGAAGCTCCATGATTTGGAGCCATCCCTCTTTATACTATATGCATTATTGTAGTAAACCTCGCAGTAGGTGACAGAGCCAGTCCTGTATAAATTTAGGCACTGGGCTGAATATAAAAGTAATGCCCCTATTTACATCTAGAAAATTACACCATCTATATATTTTTTTAATTTGTAAATTTATGAATTTTTTGTGTTTAATTGTCAATAAACCAACTTTTATTATAAATGATTGATTTGTGTTTTTTTAATATGTTTTTAAGTATATCACTGTTTTTTTTAATTCATTTATGTATGATTTTAATTTGAGTATCATAATTTTACTAAAAAAAAAATAAAAATAAAAAATCAAAAAGTGTGTTACAAATGTAGAAGAGCCATCTATAAAAAAGTATGAATGCGAAATCAATTGAAAAGGAACATAAATAAAAATTGAAACTCAACTCGATTTAGGATACTTCAAAGTAACTAGAAATGGTATTGGTGATTTAAGCTATTAAATTATAATAGAAAAAAAATAAAAATAAAAACGACCAAAGAAGAACAAGGGCCGAATGAAGAAGATACTATTTTATAGTCAATATAATAATTGCTTATTGTTATTTTTGCTATTATTATTATGAGAAATGAAATTGAATGGAAGAGGAAAAAAAAGTCCTTATGTGTCAAAGAGTATGACTAGAAAAGACTTCCAATTCAACTATTGAGAGGGTTGGCCCATTGGGGCCATTTAATTGCTCTTTTCTAAGAAAATTACAAGGTAAATTTGTGTCCACTGAGTTGGGGCTAATAAAAAGTAAATTTTAACATTATGAATCCATAGTAACTTATTTGTACACATAAATGAGGCCCTATTTTATGAATGGGCCTTGGGCCATCGCACAGCTTGCCTTGGGCTGGGCCTGGTAGGTGATATTAAATGACCGCGCGTCGCGACGCAGCAAATTAAAATTTATATTTTTTCTCGACTAATCTCTACTAGTAGCAGTGAGTAAAGGTCAATCTCACAGGGAGTGAATCAAATTGTGAATTTTTCATATTAATTTAAATTAAAAAAATGATATAAGAGGGGGGTGGGGGGGTGGGGGAGCTAATGACTAAGCTAAATAAAATTCTAATGAAACAATTAAAATCTAAACAAGAAAATAAAAATAAAATAAAATAAATTAAGAGAATTTTCTTGTTCACGGTTTCGTCTACACCCTCGACCGACTTATCAAATTAGTTCTGGTATCAAACTTCGTTACCATATGGAATTACTAGCCCTACATAGCAACTACTACTCGAATTTTTTCTTAATGTTTACGTTCGGTTAATTCTGAATTATTGGACAGTCTAGAATACATTATCTAGATTTAATGCAATAACCGCTTTAAGATCTAAAAAAAATAGACTAGTGTAAGTAGTAAACTGATGAAGAATGAGCTTTTGACCTCCAAGGTCGAGGAGGTCGGGGGAAAGGCCAAAACAACGCCTGCATGGTCTAGAAGACGGGTGCAAGCGAGTGTACGAAGCACCCGAGCACGAGAAGGACTACATGGGTCGACCCGTACGCGTATGCGGCAACGCGAGAGCGGGCGTATAGGGAAAAGACAGCGTGAGCACGACACAATGCGCACGTGGCTGAGACAGTCGATGCGTGCACACAGAATGAGGTCGAGACGCGCACGAGCGGGTCTGGGCATAAGAGCTGGAAGGGGCCTGGTAAGGCTAGACCTGTGGGGAGAGGTCTGAAGGAGATAGGTCTAGCAGGGCGAGAGACGCGATAACGCACGGGAGTGCAGTGCAGGCGCTCGAAGACAAGCACGCACGAGCGCCAGGCAGACTCGAGCGAGACTGCATGCGTACAAATAGGACGCGCATGCCAGCTGGAGGGGCGCGCGAGAAACTCGGACCTGGCGTGGACAACAAGCAGGGAGACGTGTCTTTGGGGCCAAGTCGAGTCTTCTAGAAGGCACGAGCAGTCCTTGGTCGACGAGGCTTGAGACGCAAGGATGGTCGGCGTAACTTGACGGGCGAATGTTCGAGAATCTTCTAGAAGGCGTGGCTGAAATATTCTGGAAGATTAATATTTAGTTTATTATTAGATTAATTATATGTTTAGTTTGTGTTAGCCAATTCATTAGTTTGCAAGATATTAGTGGCGCGAGTATTATGACTGTTAGGAGGTTTTATTTGTTAGGGGCGTGAATTAATTAGTTAGTATATTTAGTTAAGTGGCTGAAAGTTAAGATATTTTAATTAGGAGTTTATGACATGAGAGTTTTATTAGTTTAGGATACTAGCTTGGCCGTGAATTTAGATTATTAGTTGTTAGGTATTTGATTTAATTTGAAAGTCTTAGGATATTAGATATTTAGTTACCTAGGATAGATATTGAGTTTCCTTAGGACTAGTATTTTATTCTTAGTACTAGCCTTTAAATATCCCATTTCTTCAAATTAATACAAAAAATCAATCCTCGGGACAAACTCTCGTGTGTTGAGATTTCACAAACCGTGTAGAAGAAGGCCTAGGCGCATCGGCTACACAATTATTGCCTAGAAGGAAGGTCTATTGCGCGTCCTTCGAAGCAAATCACGTTGAGCGGATACACGATCTTCATCATAAACACAACGCACGGTTCATTTAATTAGACCGTGTTATCCCCACAGTTACCGACTATCGTTTGCTATTTACAAATAAAACATAACAACAACTAGTGTGTAGCCCGTGCTATACACGGGTAAATAATACTAATAATCCCAACTTTCAGCGAGTAGGTTCCCCGCCTTCGGTTCTGGGAGTTTGGTTAGAGCATAATATTATTGGAGTGTCGTATCCCCGTCGAGTCCTAATATAGGCTTATGACCTCTTTCATTGTACCAAAAAAAAAAAATAATAATAATACTAATATTATGTGAGTTGAGGTTTCCAAGACTGAAAGATAATGGGGGGCGGAACAAGTACAGGTTGAAATAAATGTCGGCGTATCGTCTGCGACGAAGCCCCTAACTGAAAGGGCGAATCTCAACTCATCCCCAAGGAAGAATTATAAACTAAATATTAGGATAAGCAATATTAACTATAATTATAAATTAAAGATGTGGGTTACATGTGATAAAATTTACTTTATATAGTCTATTGTACCAATATAAAATTATCTTATTTAAAGAACATAAAAAAAATTATGTCTAAAATATTAAAATTGAGAGAAGATTTACATATTATATATAAAATAAATATTGAGATGATACCGAAAATTATTTCGTCATCAATTTGAGTATAAAATAAACGGAGGCTTTAATAACTCCATGTTTTATGCATATGCTTCATTTATCAATTTTATATAATAATTTTAAAATCTCATTATCAAAATTTGTATTCAAATGTATAACATAAACGGAGACTTAACAATTCTACGATGCATATACTTCATTTATCAATTTTATCTAATGATTTTAAAATCTCGTTATTAAGATTTTTATTCAAACACGTATCAACAAAGTACACATCTTTGAGATTTATGATGAAATACGAATAAATGATTTCTTTATAAAAGAAATCCGTATTTATTTGTTTTTGAAAATCAATGCAAACTCACATAGAGTTTTTGTTCATAACAAACTCCTACAATTCTAATTAAATCATATTATTCCAATTTGAATTTCATGATGGTTTTAAAATCTATACACGTGGTCATAATCTATATCAAGTAAACAATCCCCATAATTTTAGAAATCAGTATTTATGTGTTTTTGAAAACCAATGCAAATTGCTTGATAGTTTTTTTCTAAGAAACTCCTACATTTCTAATTAAATTATATTATTCAATTCAATTTGAGTACGAATCTAAAGTTTCAATTTGAAAATGAATTTAAAAATCTGTACATTTGTTGATAGTCTTTCAAGTAAACATAGTCCCAATTTTTTTTTTTTTCGTTATTAAGTTTTTTATTCCAACAAATTATGTGGTGAAGATTTATTAAGTGAGTACCTATGATGTATGGATTAATATCCAATGTTGTAGCATACACTTTTTTTAATTGCATAAATATAATTGTTTTTTTTTTCTTTGCATGGACGGTATAATTAGTGCAAGTTAATTAAATGAAGTTAATTTTTTAATAAAATTCATTTAAGTTTTTTTTTTTTTACTAAAATGAATGATGCAAACTCGTACCATTTTAAATTCTCCACAATTTGAATTACTCCTTAACTTTTGATTACTGCTAAATTTCATATCTATCATTATTTATGCGGGCAATTTTGTAGGAAAGTTATTAGGAAATTGTTAACATTTGAATTTGAATTAAAGATTTGCATGAAAATTATTAGGAAATTGTTAACAATTGAATTTGAATTAAAGATTTTTTTTATTTTTTTTTCTGTTTTCCCTATAAGTTTGTTAAAGTAAACCATATTTTATTTAAACTTCTATCCCTTTCTTATTTAGAAATTTTGAAATTTGTTTTGCTTGCTATATTTAGTAAATAGTAATTCTTTTTATATAAGTATAAATTACGGATTACGGATTGAGAGTTTAACTCTAGCATAGAGATGAAAAACGTAATTTAGGCGATCAATTTAAATAAGATTAACAACTCTAAATTCATCATTCAAAATAACACGCATAATTCCAAAAAGATAATAAAGTTATGAACCACGAAAATTAATGAGACATCGTCAAGTCGTAGGGTTCGATTACCCCAGAACTAGAAATAAAATCTACTCTAACATAAATAATATATAATAAAGAAAAGAGAAGAATAAAATTATCCTTTCTCGTGTACGTGTGCGGTCTCCCTCCGCATCCGTCGGCTTCCCCTTCTGTCCTCTCGATTCTTGCGTCTTTTTCTTATCTCTGTTGGTGTTCCTCTGCTGCTGTGCAACTCCCAGGAAAAATAAAGTATAGTGGTTGCGTGTATGTGCTTCTTCACATAAATCCTCCTCTCAAGAAGACTCCCAGTCCCAAGTCTCTTGCTATGCGTAAATGTGGCCGCAATTAATTAAGATCCTCAATATCTTTCCTTCCCAATAGTTGGAGGACTCTTTTTCTTTTTTCTTCCAATAACACACTTGGGCAAGCTTTTAGAGAACCCAATCAGTTCCTGGGCCAAGTCTTTTTTTAGGCCCACAAATTGGTGATTTGGGCTTAACTTTCGTACATGGTAGAATGGTCCAAAAACTGGGTTGGTATGGGGTACCTCACTGTGCCGGTTGAAAATTCATTTAGTGCCACGTCGCCCACGAAAATACTCCAATATCCTAAAAATAAAACATAAAAATATCAAAGTATAAGAATCCGTCCAATAAATAAATAGTCGAAAAATATAGAATTGCGACAAAATAAGCATATAAAAATATGCTAATAAATATTCAAGATGCACATTTTTTTCGACCCATCATTAAACATAATTACACATAAGCAGTGGGTAGATACTATATTTATGTCATTGCATGTGATGGTTCTTACTTTTACCTGCTTGAAACTGAGGAATCTGCAGTGGTGCATTCCTTGACGATGCGATGCTGGTGTCGTGTGGGCATTCTTTTGGCGGTCTTAGTTTGAGGAAGGTCATTGAAACTGTGAGTGGAATCAATTTTTGGTCTAAAATTTATTTAATTTTTCTCTTTCCTTTTTCTTTGAGACAAACTAAAGCAGTGTTGTACATTTACAGTCAAAATGTCCACTCTGCAATTCAGAAATTGAGGCCGAGTCTTTGGTACCTAATCATGGTAACGAGGAGCCATTAATATGCTCTGTGTGTGTGCGCGTGGGCATTTGTGTGTCTGTATGTCTCTCGTTGGTGCCCAAAAACTCACATACGTGGGGACACTTGAAGTCTTGGACGCCATATAAAGTTATCTATGTTTTAGCCTGTAGCATATTCTTTGTTACTCATGACGGTCGCCTCTTTCAGCTTTGAGAGCAGCAGCTGTAGCAGTGAAGCAAGAAGATGAACGCAGACTATTTCATAATGCAACTCTCCGTAAACGCCGCAGAGAGGCAAGTGAGCTCAGGATGATTATTTTTAAGTTTCAACTTTATATTTAATTAACCTCAGACCGGCTTACACCCCATCCCACTCCACAAAAGGACTGAAAAATGATTGAAGCATCTTGCATATGTAATGACTTTTTTTCTCCAACTCTTTAGGAAAATGGCGATATTATTTCGGAAAACGGGTCACATAGAGGTGTACAATATCCTTTCTCAGTTAATGAAAAGGTTGTTATCAAGGTAAATTATCCACAATATGTTTGCTATGAAAATTTTTTGCCCATCTGCAAACAGATTCTTGAAAGAAACATGCATAATACAGGGTAACAGGCGGACGCCCGATAAGTTTGTTGGCAAGGAAGCAGTGATAACGTCACAATGTTTGAATGGCTGGTTAGTTGCGTACAGAAAAACTTATACAAAATGATATTGATTCGTGTCAGTTAATAGATTAATGGTTATGGTTATCATTATCAAGTTTTCCTGGATCAATTGCATGATGTTTTACTAATTCAGCAAGATATCTGTTTTTATATGTGATGCTGCCACTCATGCAGGTATTTGCTTGAGATAATTGAGAGCGGGGAAAGTGTACGTTTACAATATCGTTCCTTGAGGAAACTTCCGGGTTCCCATGACTGAATTGTAATATAGAATTTAGTGATAGGAAAGAAGATTGAGATTAAACCTCCATGTATTATTAGCTTTTCCTTTTTCGTCTTTCTTGGCCTATAGGGAAAGAGGACAAAGAATGATATGTCCATCCACCTTCTTGGTGGGGTAGTGGTTCAAAAAAATGAAACATATTTTGTGTAAGGTTGTCTGGAAATCTGATTCTGTTGGAGTCATGTATGTTACTCAATTTTCTCTTCATTTGTTGTCTGATTTTGTGAAACATGGAACTACAAAGCCTGCTTCTAATGGTTATGGGACTGAAACGAATGGAATTCCTCAAACACCACAAGTTATCTACGAAATGATAATCTTTCCGTGGGCCAGCCAGATGTGAGATAAGTCGTTTAAAGCTGATTGTAAGAGGATATTGGATGTTTTTATGGTCACATCACATTGATGGATAATTTTGCGCAAAATTTTGTACTTATCCTCTTTTTAATTTAATATAATATTTAAGACTTATAAGTTGACAATTAAAGGCATCACCTTGACGTAAGTTTGAGCATTTCAAAATTGATACGGAGGTGAATATGTCATCGGGTATTGTAAACATTAATCAGATGAGAAACACCAAAACTAGCTTTGCTAAGGTTATATACATATACTTCATGCATAGAGATAATGAGTCCCAAAAACATGAAATACATCCATGAGGCTGCAACCTAAGCTTGAGAGTTGACAAAATACAATACACATGATATTCATTTGTCCACAATATTGATAAACCTACCATCATTTTCTTGAAGAGCATTGTGAACAAACGCACGATACAGATTGATGTTGCAAATTATGGTAATAGCACTACAACTGCCAATCGATTGGAGGAATTCCCATTTCCTCCAAGATCCGGTTTGTACGAGAGAAATGCCTGCATCATGAGTTAAACGTTGCAACAAAAAAGCCAAAACGTAAATGCTTGAATGANTATTTTATTTGTGTTTTATTTTGATATAATTCTATCGTTGCGGAAAAAAAAAAAAAAAATAAATAAATAAATAAAAATTGGAAGACATACAAAATTTGTAACTTCAGCATTTTATCCCTATGAGGAGGCTTTACAATAGGCTCCTAATTCACAATCCATAATATATGATTCTTATATAGTTTTTCTTGTCATAAATTTCATTTAATAGAAAATGGTCATATTCTATGAACTCTGTCCACTTGTAGATTGAAAGTCGGAAAACACTAGGATAATTTACGTTATTTATGAGTTTGCAAAACCAATATATCCATAGATGTGGCCTGTGGGCAATTTATCAAGTGGGCAATTTATCAGGTTAGCCATATGATGGAGACGAGACTACGATTGCGTTTTAAGAAAATATGATCGTCTCCATATTTAACTTTATTAATTAGTCTTTTATTATTATTTTCCTTATTTCCTTATTTTTAGTTGGTAGGAGAATATTTATTTAATTGGTATTTTCTTGTTTACTAAGTTGAAGTTTTTTTTTAGTTTTGAGAGCCTTATATAAAAGATTGTCCTGCTTTATTGTTACTTGGTGAATTAATAATAAGAATTGATTGAATTTTGTGAATTTTACCAAGATTATCTCGTTTATCCTTCCCATTCGTACGCTTCCCTACATTAGTTGATATCAAAAGTCAGATGCCGCCGCGGAAGGACGACATCGACGGGCATGACGCCACCACTGAGTATCCGGGTCGACAAGCCACGGGCTTCGGCCGCCAGATCAATCAATTGGATCGTCGGGTTGAGGATTTTTCGAGGGGGATCGAAGAAGTACGTCTTACGATCAACATAGTTGAGGATTTGCAGACGAGCCATGACGTCGGCAACCGGGGTGTGCGCGGGGGAGTTCGCGGAGGACGTGGAGGCCATGGTCCAGGCGGGGCGCCGCCCGAGGTCTCTACAAACACCGTCTGGTGACGAAGATGACGGAGATAATCTCAGAGATAAATCCCTTCGGCGATTGTCCACCCCCACACGTCGAGGCTGACCTCTTAGCTACATACGATCTTCGTGGACAACGATGATCAACGCGCGACAAAGACGCGAGGAGGCTGCCTTTGCCGGCGGATATCGTGCCCGACACGATTGGGAATCTGATCGCGAATATAGTTTGACATCCCCGAATTTGAGGGAAAGCAAGTTGACAGGTCATTGTACAACGGTCCGCCGATGTTCGATGAAGGACCCAAGGAGGTAGAGCTTCTTACCGGCGACATGGGCGGCTTTTACGACGGACTACCAATTTTCGATGAGGAACCTCCGAGACCGGAGGATGAAGCTGGCTATAAAAATCGTTGAGCTAGATCTAATTTTTGGTGGCCGTGCTGTGCAGTATAGAGAATTCCAAGGGCACGAATCTGACAATTTTTTCGTCATCTTTTAAACCATGTTTCATAACCCTTGAAGGTGGTGTTGCATCTAGATTTCAAACACCTGCAGAGGACAAGTTTGATACGCGGTTATATATGTTGAGGCAATTTCTTGACGGAAAGTGTGATGTTGCCATTGTTGATGATGATGGTGAACTTTCCAACTCACTTCTCACAGAAACAAAAAATGCTATTTATTGAATTGTGATTCCGTAGTATTTGTTTGGGTTGTGGCCGAATAACTCAAGTTGAGGAGGGGAGAAGTGTCATTCGAGCAGTTGAGGATTTTGTGGCTAACCAAGGTAGATCACAGTGTCGTTCAACCTTCGTGTTCGATCGGAAAAACATCGGACGGTTCCGCCATGCTTACGACTCCGATGGAGACGAGACCGATTCGGATTTGCGGCCGAATCCTTCTCAACCGAGGGAGGGAGGATGATGGAGACGAGACCACGATTGTGTTTCTAGAAAAATATGATCGTCTCCATATTTATCTTTATAATTATAGTCTTTTATTATTATTTCCTTATTTCTAGTTGGTAGGAGAATATTTATTTCTTTGGTATTTTCTTGTTTAGCAAGTTAGGGTATTTACTTATTTGGTATTTTCTTGTTTAGTAAGTTAGGGTTTTAATTTTGAGAGCCTTATATAAAGGACTCTCTTGCTTTATTGTTACTTGGTGAATTGATAATAAGAATTGATCGAGTTTTGTGAGTTTTACCGAGAGAGTATCTCGTTGATCCTTCCCATTCATACGCTTACCTACATTACATCACCTGTGTAAAACCCTTTGGGCTTGAATTATATTCTACATGAAAAGAAGAGAAGGGGAAAAACCCTTTGAACTTGAATTATATTCTACATGAGAAGATGAGAAGGAGAGAAGGGGAAAATTTTACTAGTAATAAAGTCATTGAAGCTGGGAATTCCGATCAAACTAAAATGCCAAGTGTTCGATTAAGACTGGAACATTCATTTCTATATAGGATTAGAAACAACAAAATATCTAGTCAAATGTCTATTTGAATTGCAGACTTGCAACGAAATGAAATTTTGAAACAAAGGGACGTGAATTACTGTTAACTAAACCAAAGGAAAAAGAAAATGATGAATTACAACTCAAGACTTGCCTTGTATAAAAAAAATAACATAATTTATCATGTTTCAATTGGTTGTCTGGACAAGTTGAAGTTCGGCAAGGATTCTAGAAGTTTGGATAAATGCTATAACTAGAGAACTACTAGTTTTATCTTTTTTCAGGTGTGTGCTTTTGGTAAATGCTACTTTGTCTAGTTTAAGTCCTTCCAAGCCAGTAAGCTTATCCTACAATTTAATTCTCATCTGCTTGCACAATGCAAACCCAAAGATTGTGGAAAAATGGAAGCCTAACCCCGTTGTTACAATATTATGGATAACGGAAGCAGAAATAAATTATTTTCTAGAAGCTCGCCCTTTCTATGTGTTAATTATTTATTTTGTTTAAGCAACTTGTTGTGGGGAAATCTAGAAATCTCAATATGGTATTGGAACTGCCAATCGGTTCTCATTCCTTTGGTCGGAAACAGGCAAGCCTGCAGGTCTTCCCTTAGGTCGAGGTCTTGTCAGTATTAGGTTCGATCTTCCACTAGAGTCGAGCGAAACCAGGTCTTTCGTGATCATAGATTAAACCAAAATTTCCAAATAAGTTAAGAGGACTAATTTTCATATTATCAACCTAATAAATTGGCAAATGCATTGGATATATCATAGAAATGAATCTTATGCAAAGTAGGATATAATAAGCATTTAATATACCAACCTGCATCCAAAAAAGCCTCTATTTGCAGATAAACCAGAAGGATGTGCTGATTTGAGAACATGGTGTTTAGATTCATCTATCAACCTGCACAAACAATTTCACCAGAGAAACTAAGCTGTCCTTTTTATTTTAAAAAAAAAATTCATCTCATCCCAACAATAGAGAAAGGCAGTGTGGAAATTTTTCTTTTAAGAAAAGTGGATATTTTTTAGGTTGTGAATTGGATCAAGATAAAAATAAAATAATTAAAGTTGATGTGATATAAAAATAAAAATACAATGATTTTTAATTATTGGTAGTTAGGAAGATGTGAGTAGAGAATAGTGTTCTTTGGAAATGTATAGTAATGATTTATATTTATTTTCAAATTATGTTGATGGGATTGGAAAGAAAAAATGCTAATATATTTTCTGAAGATTTGTTGTAACCAATCTCAACTTCAATGCAATAAATCTTGTCCGCCAAACGAAAATGAAATTATTCCATATCCAATCGCCACCTTAATACATTCATTTGTTATTCATTCAATTGAATCTATTTCCCAGTTTCCAGGATATAAGTTACTATTTCACAGGGTCTAATACAGAACCTCCGAAACAGCAGAGAATTTCAAAAAACGAAGTACCATCTCCTAGCATACAGGATTCTCCCAGTCGGTTTAGTGCATAAATTCCAAATTTGTCTTGCTTCAAGGGCTACTAAGAGGGTTCACAGTTCCATTCTGAGATAGCCACTTATGAATAGTTATGCAAGAAATACCTCATTTGATATAATAATGGAAAGTTAAATAGTGGAAGATATTATAAGGGCTTGTTTGGAAACACTTCTCGAATGAACTTTTGCATACAGAAGTGCATTTGAATAAATAATATGTTTTGGTGCTAAATTAAGAATGGACTTATGGATGAGTTGTTTCTCCAAAAAAGTCCATTCTATAGAAGTAAATGATGAACACTTTTGGAGAAGTCCATTTTGCACAAGTCCATTTAAGAAATGGATTTTTACAGAGGTCTCACAAACATGCACTAAAGTCCCAAATCCAGAGCTGCTCATCTCCCATTCATCAAAAACCATGTTGACAGTCTATTAATCATGTAACTAGATAAAGTTACCTAGATTTGGCCTGAGCATAGTTTCCCCAAAGGAGAAAAACAACTCCTTCTCTATTCTGTGAAATCGCTCCAATTACAGCGTCAGTAAACTGTTCCCACCCTTTTTTGGCATGTGAATTTGCCTGGTGTTGTCTAACTGCAAATAAATTACTCCAGAATATATGTAAGACTAGTAAAAAGTTACAACAGAATGATAATGTAGTACATAATAAATTCAATAGTCA